GCGGTGCAGCTGGCAGACCTGGGCAGCGGCATGGAAGCCGCGTTGGAGGCGTCGGAGAGCCTGGCGGCGGAGGTACGGTCGCTACGGCGCGCTCTAGAGGCCCGCGATGCCGTACAAAGTATCGTACAGGGTGGCGATGGCGATGGCGGTGGCGGTGGCGGTAAGGATTCAGGCAGCGGCGCCGGACTGGGAACTGGCGTCGCTGGTTCGTTGGCGACGGCGGGTGGTACGGCACCAGTGACATCGGGGGAGCTTGTTGGCTTGGAGGCCGTCGGCGGCGGCGGCCTGGACCTGCAGGGTCTGCCGGCGTGCCATGTGCGGCGGCTGGCAGCGGCGGCGGGGCCGCTCCTGGCGGCGCGCGTGACACGTCACTCGGCAGTGATTGGCGATGAGGAGGCTTTGATGAGGTTCCACTCCCTTATGTCGCATGTCTTTGTGCCGGAAGGCTCGCCGCGGGTCCACCCCTTGGCCCGCCACCTCACCAACCCGGCGGTGCCGCCCGTCTGCCTGCCGCTAGCCGCCGCCACCGACGCGGCTGCCGCCGCCAGCGGCAGGGGAGCCGGCGGCGGCGGCGGCGGCGCTGGGGCTGGCCCCTTCCTGGAGCTGCTGCTGCTGACTCCCGCCAACGTATCCGCCGTCAGCTTTCAGTACCCGTCGTACGGCACATGGGACACGACCTCGGCACTGCTGCAGCTCTCCGCGACGGTGCATGAAGCACCTGTAGCCGGTCCTGCTGGCGGCGGCGGTGCGGTGGCGGCGCAGCCGCTGCAGCAGTCACAGCCGCCGCCGCCGCTGCCGCTGCTTGGCGGCATTCGAGGGCTGCGTTCGCGGCACGTGGAGCTTCCGCCTCTGCGCGGGATGGAATGCCAACACGTCACCATACCGCCGCCGCAGCCGGCACCGTCATCGACGGCGTCAGTAGCTGCGGGTTACCATGGCGGCGGCGGCGGTGGCGGCGGTGGCTCGCAGATGCGGGTGTACGGCATTACGCTGCAGGTACACAGCAACTTTGGGAACCCGGACTACAGCTGCATGCCCCGGGTGTTGTTGCACGGCTGGGCCGCGTAACGCTCCTCGGCTGAAATTCGTGTTGTTCCGAGCAAACAGTGGTGAAGAGTGCAGCAGCGTGGCGGGAGCGGGGCCACTGCGGGTGTGTGATTCCCTGCGCAGGATGGTCTCTCAAAACACGGGGCTGCAAAAGGAACGGCGGCAGTTAATCTTGTATATAGGCGGCTTTCCGGAGAAGGCAGCCCGAACAGCCGGAGCGGGCCCTGCAGCTGCCTGCAGCTGCCTGCCGACAGTGCTCAGGGCCTGTTAATGGTGCTTCCTGAATGGTGAGGTTGGGCTTCTCATTGAGATGGAATAAAGAGACACGCGGGCTCGCACGTTCAGCGCTGTCTGGATAACGAAAAGAGGGAGAGGAGTTTGACCATTATTAAGAAGCAGGTGGAGGGGGGGTGAGAGGCAAGGGGCGAGAGGTCAGGCTGCCGGTTTCGGTTCGGAGTGTCGGGTGTGTTACCAGTGCGGCCCTTGTTTTTTTTTGCATAAGATAGTTGAAGTGGGGAGAGCGCGTGCATGCGTGCGTGAGGAAATGTCTGTCCTGGTTTGCGGTCGCGCGCCGCCGTAAGGATGGTGTGGTGTACACCGTTGTTGAGAGCTACGTCCCTACACTCCAAGACTCGGTCGGCCCTAAAGGAAGGCGCCTAGGAGGACGACGCGTGAAGGCGTGTGGGCGGCACGGGTTTGGAGGCATGCATGGGATTCTGGTAGGGCCTTGCGGCGGTTAGCCGTTAGCAGTTAGCCGTAGCTACTGGCGCCTGCAGGGGTGGATGAAGTTGGGAGGCGGTTGCGGCGGGGCAATGGGTGCGGGATGGGTGGGCGGGAGAGGGGGGAGCATGGTGATGGGGGGGGCTGGGGAAGGCTGGGAGGGCGTGCGTTGCGGACGAATGCAGCTGGGCATTGGGCGATGGACGGGCATATGAGGAGATCAGAACACGTGGGATGTATGAGCAAGGAAGTTGCGCTGCATCGCGGGGTTTTTCGCGGGGTATTGCCAGCTTTAAAGGTAGATAGGAAGCACGGCAGGATGGCGCTTTTGTTTAACGAGTTTGATTTTTGGGACGAGCTTTTAAAGCTGAGAGTTAAACACCGAGGATTATGTTTGCAGGTGTCGGGCTTCAAATGGGCAGGATTCTGGATAAGGGGGAAAGGGGGAGGGAAAATTGCGTACGTGGTAGGTTGCCGATGGTCCTTCATACCACGGAAGAGGGCTTCTTGCCGCAGGGCATCGCTACAGATGCGACGCATACAGATTGACAAGTATCCAAAACGATAATTTTGAGCGTTACTGTTGCTTTCGTGTAAGAGAGGAAAGGAGCCTTATCGAGGCGGTTAAGCAAATTCCTATGTCCTTCAACTTTTGGGTCGCGGCCACGCGGCCTAAGGTCATGAAGTGGCGAAGTGGAATTCCAAGTCGCCAATCAACTGCCGGACAAGTACTCAGGTATGGACAAAGCTACCTCTTGGAAACGCCGCAATCCAAATTCTGTCTTCCAGCAGTTGCATGCTGTGCATGCTCCGCCGCACAGCACCGCAGCACGTCGCCATACAAATTAGCCTTGCCGCCTACACAAATTAAGTACTTATAAAGTTTAGGGAATGATGTATTATATCGAGATGAAAAGCATCATTGACGGCCGTTTGCAGACGTGTTATGAAAACAGGCTTGGGCGAAGCGGACGCATACATAGCGCCTATATAGTATCCTTAGTCATGTGCAAGGCAACGTAGGCAGCTTCACATAATCCTTGAGACACGATGTCTGTCTCGGAGGGCGGCGAGTGAGTTCCCGGTTCACGGACCCTCGCAGTTCGGACCTCGCAACTAAGAAACTTTTTTGGCTATTTTGCTCTTACGCAGTCCACACCTCCTGCGAATCCTCATATCAACTGACAACCACCTGGTGCGCTGGGGATAGGGCAACGCGTTGCAGCATCGACATGGTACTCAGTCATCGAGCATCCTAATAGCACCGTTACACCGATGCTTTGCCTGCATGCTCAAAACTGCTTTATAGTATACACAACCGAGTCCAATTGCTTGCTATTCCCGCGCTGCTTTATGGTCGCTCCTTCCCACACCCCATCCCCTCCCGTCCATAAACATCACGCCAGGGTGTCTGGGAGAAGGACGAGACCCGCCGCGATGACTCCTTTCGCACCTTTGAGGAGGTCCTCCAGCTGGCGGTGGAGAAGCGGGTGGACACTGTGCTGCTGGGGGGCGACCTCTTCCACGAGAACAAGCCCAGTCGCAGCACCCTGGTCAAGGCCATACAGCTGCTGTCCAAGTACTGCCTGAACGACAGGCCCATACGGTTCCGGATCTTGTCCGATCAGAGCGTAAACTTCGTGTCGGGGTGAGAGCCTTTTCCCCCTGGGCGGGCTGGGGGATGCAGAGCCCCGGGGCATCTGTCGGTAGTTGGAGATGTCGGAGAGGTCAAACTGGGCCAGATTACACGGCTACTCGGCTGGGGGCGAGAGTTTTGGTTCAGTCATTGAGTTACGGCGTATCCCCAGTCGGAGAAGGGTGCTTTAAAACTGGGACGATCATTTTCTCGAAACCGGGAAGGCAGCCCTTAAGACGAGGTGTGTCGTGTGCTGGCAGGGAAAGGAGGTAAAAAGGTGAGGGAGGTCTCACACCTCAGCCGGCGCAGTTCGAGGCGATGAGAAGGACAGCGTCCCCAGGTGCCGCCGGGTGCCGCCAGCTGCGTGCAAAGGCGATGTCGGAGGACGCCGCCAGCTTGCAGCTGCCGCATGTGACCCATAATCCCCCCATAGTGGCCACACTGATAAACACCACTGAGCGCGGCCGCAGTTGTCCACTCTCCGTGCGTTGCTGCTGCTGCTGCTGTTGCTGTTGTTGCTGCTGCTGTTGTTGTTGTTGTTGCGTGGGTGAAGGCTGCTGCTGCGGCCCCTTCCTCCTCCCGTTTTTGAACCCTACAACCACCTGCAACCAGCTACAGCCGCCTACAACCACCTAACAACCCGTTACCCGGTTGCAGCCGCGTCAACTTCGAGAACCCCAATCTGAACATCGGTCTGCCGGTGTTCACCATCCACGGCAACCACGACGACCCCGCGGGGCAGGACTCCCTGTCCGCGGTGGACATCCTGTCACAGACCGGTCTGGTCAACTACTTCGGGAAGCACGTGAGGGGGTGGGCGGGGAAGGGGGAAGAGAAAAGGGGATTGGGAGGAGGGTGGGATGGAACGCCTGCTGCTGCGGCTTGCGTCACTCTGGACGGACATGTAACCCGTTTGGCCCCCGTGGGGGCTCCGTGTCTCCTCTATCCAGTCCATCCTCCTTCCGCCTCCCGCCCACCCGCCAAGGTTCTTGCATTCTACCATTCCCGCCACCCTTGCCACACCACCGTGTCTAAATCTGGCCTTGCCTTCCTAACGACCCACACGCCCACTACCACCCACACGCCCGCTACCACTACCACTACCACTACCACTACCACCCCACCTGCACAGCCCCTGGTCGGCAGCGGTGCAGCTCGGATCACCTTGTCCCCGGTCCTCATTGAAAAGGTGAATCCAGGGCTCTGTGTGTCGGAGGGACATGTGGGGGTGGGTTGGGGGGCGCCGGAACGGGGATACACGATAAGACCGGCGTCCCGCGGGGAACCGACCAGAGGTGACAGGAGTTGGGTTTTTACCTAGTAGCAGGCAGTGGTGGTGGTATGCTTAGGGCGCAAGGGCGGATGGCATTAGCCTGGAGGCGGCTTGAGCTTGTCCGTGGGCGTCAGAAGAGTGTGTGTATGTTTGTATGTGTGTACATATTAGATATCTTGCCGGGGCTGATGCTGGCCAGGGGTTGCTGCCCAGCTGCCCCGACGAACAAGACCGCCGATTTAGCACTACTCTCGCCCCCCAGGGGAAAGGGGAGGGGCTTGAGGGGGGCCACTGTCCCCTCTCCTGCACGACACAGAGCCCGAACCGCCGGATACCTTGTAGGGATATATATATATATATATATATATATATGTACACACAGGGGTGACCTCTCTGGCACATGCGCATTGCAGCACGCTCGCTGGCCGTGCTAAGGTTTGCAAAAAGGCGGCACCAAACCAACTAGCACTGCTACAAGCTCGCTGTGTGTGTATGTGTGTATGTATGTGTGCAATAGGGGCCTTCGTGGAGAAGGCAGCCTCCCCCTCACAGCCGCCATGTGTCGAAAACACGGGGAGCCACTACGCCTCACTTCCTCCCCTCCTTTCCCGCACTCTACCTGCGCAGATACTTGGGGTACCCTCGTCATCATCTTGCTCCCTACTCTCCTTTCCCCCCCACCCACCCACACATCTTTCCCCACAAAGCCCCCTTTCCGACATAATATCGTTTCCACGTATAAGTGCACAATTATCATTCCTCCGCTTCCAGGGCTCCACTCGGCTGTGCCTGTACGGCCTGGGCAACATCCGGGACGAGCGGCTGGGTCGCTCCTTCCAGACCCCGGGCTGTGTGCAGTGGCAGCGCCCCGCCTCCACTCCGGGCTACCCCTCCGACTGCTGGATCAACATGTTCGTGCTGCACCAGAACCGGGTGCAGCACACCGCCTTCGCCAAGGCCTGTGTGCGGGAGGAGCACCTGCCGCCCTTCCTGGACCTGGTCGTGTGGGGACATGAACACGAGTGCAGGCAAGCAGGGGGATGGGTATTTGGGTTTGTGGAAGGTGGGGGTGGTGGGGATGGGGGGGGAGGGAGGGCAAGGCGAAGAAGGGGGAGTGGTGGTGGTGGTGGTGGTGGTGGTGGTGGTGGTGGTGGTGGTTAGGGAACCGGTGCATGTATCGGATGGTGAGAGGGAAAAGGGGGAGGGGAGAGGGAGATAGGGGGGAGAGAGAGAGAGAGAGGGAGAGAGAGAGAGGGGGAGAGCGAGAGAAGGGGGAGAGAGAGAAGGGGGGGCGCCCGGGAAGGAGGGAGGGGAGCTGTTAGGGTGAGGAGATCCGGACCTGGTTGCGGACGTCCTTCCCGTGGGGCCTTCTATGTCTCCACCTCCACCTCCACAGGCTGGGCGGCCTGGCTGACCTACAACACAGCCCTCGCTTAGTGCGTGGGGCCCTTCTGTCCCACTTCGCCCGGTGACCTCTCCTCCTGCGGTGCGATCTGGGCCCCGTGTTGTCCCTGCTGCCCCCCCAGACCCGACCCGGTGGCCATCCGTGGAGAGGGTGAGGGGCGCTACATCGTGCAGCCGGGGTCCTCCGTGGCCACGGCGCTGTCAGAAGGTGGGAGGGAGGGGAGGGAAGGGGGGGGGGAAGGGAGGGAGAGGGGAGGAGGGAGGGCAGGGAAAAGGGAGGGGAAAAAGGAGAAGGGAGGAGGGAGGGGAAAAGGGAGAGGAAAAGGGAGAGGAAAAGGGAGAGGGAAAGGGAGAGGGAAAGGGAAGTCAGCATGCTGCTGCGCGTGTGCGGAGGTGTAAGCTGTGGTGGAGTGCATCCAGTTCTTCCCGGAGCACAGAGGAGGATGTGGCGGATCACCCATGCTACCGTGTTTCTCATCCACGCCCCTGACGTATGGCAGCATAAGAGCTGTGTAAGAGCGGGAACGACTCTCTAACCGATCAATTATATGAACCAACCAACCAACCGACAGATTGTCATTGAGCTTGATAAAATGAGCTTCCTTTTCCTTCTCCTCCCAATCAACTAATCCCCTTAAATATCTGCCAGCCGTGTCCTCATCCCCCAAATATCCGCGGGCCATATTTCACCCTCGGATTCCTCAGCTTTGTACGTTCTAGGCACGACACCTTTCCACTCTCTCCCCCATCTTTCCGACCCACTCCAGTGTCCAATTGTCAACCGCTCTTCCCCTTGAGTAATTAACTAACGCATGCCTTTGTCTGAGTCCAGCTTTCCTCTCCTTTCTTCTCGCCTCCTGACACCTCCGCTCTCCCCTACTTCTTGGTTACATGCCCCTTTCATTCCTGCATATGATCTCCTCCCCTGCACATACAAACACACACAAACACGCACACACGCACACACACACGCTCCCTCCATCCTGGCTGTTTCCGTACCGTCCTGACACCTCCGCAGGTGAGTCGCGGCCCAAGCACGCCCTGTTGTTGGAGGTGAAGGGAACCAACTTCCGGCTGCAGAAGTTCCGATTGCGCACCGTGCGGCCGTTTGAGTTCGAGAGTGTGGCGCTGAGGGACGTGCAGCCGCCGCTGAAGCCCGAGGACACGGAGGAGGTGACGAGGTTCCTCACCGCCAAGGTAGGCGCGACGGAGGTACACCAGCGGAGGTACCGCCGGGGTACGGAGGATATTGGGGTTTGCGGGAGGCAGTAAAGCGAGTGGTTGGGCGGATAGGTGGGTGGGCAGTTACGGGGTAGGGAAGGGAGGTAAGGGAGGGAACGGGTATGGGGTGTATGTGACCGAGGGAGAGATTTAAGGGTGATGATGCAAAAAAGGCAAGGAATGAACTGGCGACGTCCAAAGCCCCACTCGCCGGCACCTGTCTACAACAAAGAGGGATGTGAGTGTGGTGGTGTGGTGTGGTGTGGTGTGGTGTGGTGTGGTGTGGTGTGGTGTGGTGTGGTGTGGTGTGGTGTGGTGTGGTGTGGTGTGGGCGGGAGGGAGGGAGGTTCGGAGCGCGGGGTAGGAGTGTGAGGGTGTAAGCAATGGGGTAGAGGGTCAGGCAATGGCAGTCACATGCTGTAATGTGCGGATGTGTGGTGGTAGAGGGCCCACCCACCCGGACACCCACCCGGGTGTATGGGTTGTGGCAGAGAGGGGCAGGGCTTCCACATGTGGCCACACGGTGGAGGGGGGGGGTTTGGGGAGTGCTGCATGTGCCATGGGGGGACCCGGTGGGGCCCAAGCAAGGTGTGTGAGGGGAGGTGGATGTAGGGAGAGGTGGCATGACGTGAGGAGGCGCCCTTGGGAGCGCTCCTCCTCCTCCGCCTCCTCCTCTTCCTCCGCCTCCCCGTCCCCGTCCCCTCCTCCTCCCTCGGATTCCCGAGGAGAGTCAACATCCGTTCGGTAAACGGTCCCGCCACATGCCGTCCCCAACCCCTACCCCGGCAACCCGTCTGCGACTAATTCAGCGTCTTATATTCAATCCTCTGGACATTCGCAGTTGCGTAAATCCTTTTTACATTTTTGTATTATCTGGCCTCTGCCCCTCCCCCTTCTCGCGCACCAATCCTGGCCCCCCGGGGCCCCCCATTCCCTCCACACACGCACGATGCAGGTCCAGGAGATGATCACTCGCGCCGCAACCTCCGCGCTGCATCTCCCCGCCGCATGCGCCTCCGATGGCGGTGGAGATGGGGGCAACCCCGACTCCGCGCCGCTGCTGCCGCTCATTCGGCTGCGGGTGGACTACACGGGCTTCTCCACCGTCAACTCGCAGCGGCTGGGTCAGCGGTTCGTGGGCAAGGTGGCCAATCCGCACGACATGCTGCAGTGGACGAAGGCGCCCGCGAGGAGGTGAGGGAGAGGGCGCTAGGGGGGAAGGGGAGGGGAGGGGAGGGGCCGCTAGGCTGCCGGGGGCAGTTGTCATGTCATGTCGGGTGGGGTCGGGTCATAGCCACGATAGCCACGTTGTGTGCGTGTGTGTGTGTATCGACACGTGCGCGTTGCCTTTTCTGGGGCGCTGGGAGCCCATCTTGCACAGGCACACCTCCAAACGCTTGCAGTTGATATTTTTGAATAATGCGTTGTGATAATAGTCTAATCCCCCCCCCCAGCAACCCGCAACCCGTATTGGATGAGTGCCGCCAAGGCAACATGATTAAAATCGCCAGCTGTTGTGCTGTGCTGTGCATTACAGTCATGACAGACGGATTGACAATGCGCTTCATCGGCCAGGCGTCCAGACGCGAGGCGTACGCCTCGCCGTTATCTTCCCCCCCTGTGCCTCCTCAACCTACCTACCTACCTAACTTACCTGCCCCCTGCACCCCTACGATTTTCACCTCTATATTTGTTCCCTCACACTATATATGTCTGTCCCTCTCTTACACCGCCTCACCCCACCTCACCCCACCCACCCCACCCCGCAGGGTGAAGGGTGAGGGCGGCTCCCAGCCGGCGGGTGCCCTCGAGGACGAGGAGGGCGCGTACCTGCGACCGGATGCCCTGGACCAGAGCCGGATCGAAGACCTCATACGGCAACACCTGGGGCCTAATGCTCTGGAGGTGCTGCTGGGGTAGCGGGAGGGGGAGGGGCGGGGAGTGTGAGGCGGGGTGGGGCGGGGAGTGTGAGGCGGGGTGGGGTGGGGTGGGGTGGGGTGGGGTTGGGGGTAGGATTTATAACAGGGTCATGGAGGCATGTAGAGAATAAGTCTACGGCCTTGCCTGGCATGGCTTTGTGTTTAGGGTTTTCAGGGTTGGACACGTATGCACGTGCATGTTTGGTGCTGGAGATCGGTAGATCAGACTCTCCTCCTCTTGTAGTATCATATAGGCCATTTGGTTTACTCTTTCACCAGGCCAGCTTTTGGTTGCCGGGTGGGCACAGACGGCAGCTAAGTTTAGAGTTGCTGGCAACTAGGGCAGACCGGTACGATGCATGGGGCATGTGTTACAGTAGGCGTGTAGGGGGGGCCGGGGTTGGAACACATTCCCACGGTGGTAGCCCCGCCCCGTCCCTCATGACCCCCATTTTGTCAGCCCCACCCCCACCCCAACCCCAACCCCAACCCCAATCGCACGCACCCAGGTGCTCCCTGACGACGAGCTGGCAGTAGCGCTGCACAATTTCGTCGAAAAGGACGACAAGGTCGGTGGGTGGGTGTGGGGAGTGAGGGGTGTTTTGCATCAATATGTATGTAGGTTTGTGTGCATGGCTGTCTCTCATGCGGCTGAGCCGGGGTGGTAAGACCAGTGGCGACGGCACGCTGTGCTGGGGGACCAGCTGTGCGTTGCCGTGTCTCTGTGTGTATGTGTGTGTGTGTCTCTTGTGTGTTGGGGCCAGGAGCCCACTTAGGGTTTGCGAGGGGCTTTGTGGCCAATGTCCGTGCTAAGTAAAGACGGTGAGCATGTGTGTGTGTGCATGTGTGTGTATGTGTATGGGGTTTGTTGTTGGGCGGGCCATTGCGGGGTTCGGTTGTCCTGATTAGGAACGGGCTGGGTGGCCTGGCCGGGCAGTTGGCGGCACCCTGGCCAGCACCCCGCTGGGCTGAGCGCCCGAGCAGACTAACTATCTGTAGGTCCCCCTGCACGCACCTTCCGAGTCCTTGGGATCTCCTGTCGACTTCCCCACCTACGCCCTTCGCAACGAAACCCATTTCTCCTTTTCTCTCCTTCCCTTCGCCGGCAGTAGGATTTTTGCATTTCGCACGTCATTTTAACCTTTTCCCTCTACTCCTCCCCTATCGATGGGACCCTTGCACGGAACCCCAACCCCCACCCCCCTCAACCCCACCCCCACCGCCATCATGACATCCACCAGAACGCACTGCAGCAGTGTATCGAGGCGGCGCTGGAGGAGACCCGCAACGCTGCGGCGGCAGCAGTGGCCAGCAGGCTGGCAGGCGGAGACGCGACGGGGGCGGCAGGAGCGGGAGCGGCCGTCAAGGCCCCCTCGTCCGGAGGTGGTGGCGGCGAGGAGGACGAGTTATTGGGGGCCGTGCGCGCTGGAGTGGAGCGACGTAGGCAGCAGCGAAAGCAACGCATGCAGACTCAAGGTGTAGAGGGGCCCAGGGGTTGCTGTTGCCGTTGCCCCGGGGGGAGGGGTGCTGTTTGGGGTTGGGCTCAAGAGTGGTTGGTTGTAGGTGCGGCCTAGTGCAACCGTAGGTGTGCCAACATCGTTCCCTCTCTCTCTCCGGCTTTTGTGCTTGGCTTCTGTGAGCTTCAATGGCCACCACACATGGGTCTGTGGGGTCTAGCGGGGTGAGCTGGTGAGCTGGGGGGATTTGGGTGGAGGTAGTAGTGGTGTGAGATGTGCTGTAATGGCAGCAGCTGCAGCAGCAGCAGCATGTGGGTGGTGGCGCCCGGGTGGATGGTTCACATCGAATCTGAGCTCCCGTGCACGGGTCGTATCAGGCTGTCCTCCGTCGTCCTCCCCGATCCTGACGTTGTCTGCTGTCTGTTGCTTCACCCCTTACAGCGATGACTGGCCCAACGACTTATGCAGTTGGCAGCATGGCTCTTCATATGCAACCACATACGAGTGTCAGTGGCATACGTTTCGTTAGTAAACCGTTTTCAAGGATTTTTAACTCCTGGATGCACTTTTCCTTTTCCTGCCCTGCAGGCGATGAGGACGGGGTGGACCTCGTGGCGCTAGAGGCGGGGGTCACACAGGGCGACGGGGGTACAGGTGCGCATGGTGGTGGCGGTGGCGGAGCGGATGAGCACATGGTGGACGTGGGGCCGTCTACAACGGGGGCAGGCCGGGCAGGGCCCGGTCCATCATCTCAGATCACCACCAAGACCACCACCTTGGGGTAAGTCCTGACGTTCCCCGTGGGGTAGGGGAGAAGCAGAGGAGAGCAGGGAGGGGTAAGGGTGAGGGGCATGGGCAAGGAAGGGTAGCGGAGGCGCGAGAACACGGCATATTGGTTTGGGGAGCTGCTAGGAACGAAGGCGAGGTGACGACACGCGACATCCTCATCCTCATCATTATTATTGTTGTTGTTGCTGCTGCTGCTGCTGCGATGTAACTCCTGCTCCTGCTCGTGTACACCCGCTCGGTGTCTATTGCCTCTACGCATGTGTCCACAAATCAGACCCGGCTTCAGCTGCATCCGCAAAGTAAAGCGCTGATGTTTCACAACGATAACACCTTAAATAAACCTATACCAGGCGCGGGCGGGGTCGCGGCCGTGGCGGGGGCCGGCAGCAAAGTCTCGCCGACAGCCTTGCTCGTGTGGGGACTGCAGCAGCCCCCGGAGGGGGAGGGCGTCCGCTGGACGCCTTCTTGCAGCCCACTACGGGTGCACCCGGCAGCGGCCAAATGACCCCGGGCGGCGCAGGGAGGGGGGGAGCTAAGACGGCGGCGGCGGCTCCAACAGCAGCGAGGTAAGGCAGGATGACTATTCCGGGGTTTTGGAGGTTACTTGGCAGAGGGAGGAAAGGGGACGGCAGACGGGGTGTGTGTGGTCCGGAATGGTGGGTGAGGGCCATGTGGTGATGGAACCCACGTGTCCAAGCCACGGCGGGACGACCGACGTCCTCGAGGCGCTTAACTGTTATAACATTGATCCATCCGCCGTTGCTGCCTTTTCCCTCCCCCTCACTCGTTCGTGGTTCGTCTTTCCCCCTCACTCTCTCTCTGGTCCTGTTCAATCCTCGTTGCCGCCCTCTTAACACCTCCTCCGCAACTTGCCTGCCAGGGGTCGCGGCCGGGGCCGCAGCGGGGGGGCTCGCGGCGGCGGCGTTAACTCGCCGACCGCTGGCGATAGTGACGTGGAGATGGCGGATGACGTCATCGAAGACCTGGAGGAGGACCGGCCGCCGCCGCCGCCGACATCGACGACTCGCGGGGCCCGGAGGCTCACCGTTGCTAGTGCTGCGGCTGGGACGCCTGCTGGCCGGCCGGCTCGAAGTACGCGCGCCGCTGCGGCTGGTGGCGGCGGTCGTGCTGGTCGCAAGAACTACCGGGTTGCTGACTCGGATGATGAAGACGAGGAGGAAGAAGGTGCGGTTCAGGGGTGCGAGTTTGCTGCTACGTTGCTAACGGGGTGTCGTTATGGTGGCTTGCTTGCGCCCCTTGTAGGAAAGGGAGTAACGTACTGTTATGGAACATGCACGTTGTAAGGATTGGGGGGGAGAGCTCTCAGTCCCGGGCTCCCTCCCTTTGTGGCTTCAGCTGCTGCAGCTGCTGCAGGACTATATAAGGTTTTGACTGAGTGGTTTTGACTACGCGGCGGAACGTGCGCCTGTGACCCCCTGGCGCCTGGTGTTGCCCTGTCCCCCTGGTCCCGCAGGTAGCGACGGCCGGGAGGACATTGAGGAGGAGGAGGAGGAGGAGGACGATGATGGTGATGTAGAGGAGGAGGATTTGGAAGTGGCACGGCCCAGTGCGCGTCGAGGCCGAGGCAGGGCTGCTGCGGGCAGGGCGGCGGATGCCCCCAGGCGGACCGCCGCGTCCGGCAGAGGGCGGGGCCGTGGAGCGGGTACGTGCGGCTGTCATCTTGTAGTATTGGGCTGTGGTGATGCGAAGGAGGCAGTCCAGCGGATGAGTGTGCGGCTCTACCGACGTGTGTTTTATTGTTCAGGAGTTCCGGATGCATTCGTACCTGTTACCCTACTCGTACCCCTGCTAATCCCGCATACCTTATGATGCCGCCCTCCCACTCTGATTACTGTGACAACTATGGTACGTTTTCTGCATTCACACCCCATCCCCCCAATTCTCTTTCCTTCCTATGGCGGTCGTGGGACACTGCACATGTAGCTGCGGCGGCAGCCCCAGGTGCTGGTGGTGGCCGCTCTCGGACCCGGGGCGCGGGTGGGGGTGGGGGTGCGCGGGAGGACGTCATCACGCTGACCAGCGATGAGGAGGACGACGAGCCCGCCCCCTCCCTGGGGCCACCGGCGGCCAGAGCGCACGCGGCCGTGGGGGCCGCCTTCGTGAGCACCGCCGCCGGGGTGCCGTACGGCACGACGACGACAACACAAGGGGGCACTGGCGGTACGGCCACCGCAACGGGCACTACGCCTCTTGGTGCGACAGGTACTGCGGCGCCTGGTGCTGGCAGGAAGCGACCCGCCAGTTTCTTCGCTAGCGGCGGCGGGGCGGTGCAGGGGCGCGGTGCGGCGGCTGGTGGTGGCCGGGGCTGGGGCCAGGCGCGATAACATTGTTTCCGTTCTGCGCGGTTCCGTTTTGCAGTTGCATGGGGTTGGCCTGGTGCTGGTGTACTGTCTGTTTGGTTGCAGGCTACAGTGGTGATGGTGGTGCGCAACAGAAGATATGCAGGTGATTCCTGTGAGCGGGTGATGCCTGTGAGCGGAAAGACACGGTAGGAGTGTTGTAACGGACACACATAGCGTCACGACGAGGCAAAGGGAGCTGTACTAGCAGCGTTTGGTTGTGCGAATGAGCTGCGTTGCGTCGTCGTCATTGCCACTTTCTGCGCATGGAGGTTTTTGGAGGATTTTGTGACGAGATGCCCGGGGGCCGCCTTGGGATGTTTTGTTGATCGCGGCAGGTGCAGCGGCATCAGCAATCGGCAACAGGATGTGGTTGCACGTCGTGTTGAAGTGTG